GCCAACGACCAGGTGACGAGGTCTGGCGGTGCCGATTCGATTCCAATCTGAGGAAACATCATGGCGCCTGTTTCTTGTGCCGCACTCTCATATTTGCCAATCATTGTGCCGGTCCAAGGGGTCTCGCCGGTAACGTCGAGGTAGTGCGTGCCGTTCTCGGCGCAGGCTCGGAAGGCAAACTCGCCATATTTTGCATACGGGCCGACGGTGGTGATGAGAATATATGTCTTTTTGGCGAGCGCCTCAAGATCCTCGTGGTTGAGGCCGCAGATTTCGATTTCTGTGAAATTGGTCAGTACTTCTGAGTGATGACTTATTTGGCTAGGCCTGCATAACAGATCCAGCCCCTCTCTCGAGCAGCTTGTCACCACTTCCCCCCTCCAATACAGGTTGTTTCTCGACTTGACATCTCCAGCACGTGGTGGCCTCATCCATCGCTAGCACGATTGAAAATGCAAGACGCCGAGACAGTCACTTCATTGGTGAGGATCAGACACTCATCTGATCTCGGCATAGCCTAAAATCCTTTCACGTACCAGGCTGCAATCTGTCGGGACTCTGCTTCTTGCACTCGGCAACAAGACCTTGGAGCTTCGTCTCCGATCGACCTGCGACTGCCCATTTCAAATTGGTCGGCAGATGGGTTGTAATGTGCTCTGCCACAAACGTCCCGGTGTAGCCTTTTTGCAGTTGTCAGCAATTGCACGTTAGGTTGCATCATCACTGCATCCTCGACTTATACACACCGGTAGCACCAAAAACGACCAAGTCGTACTGACGGTCATGTTGCTTGAATGGCATCTCTGACGCTTGCTCGATGTCTCCTGTCAACAATAAGTCTGGCCTCGAAGGGAGATAGAATAAGGAATGGCAGTTGCAGGATTGAAGAGAAAAAAAAGAGTCAGGGTGCACGAGTCTCAGACATCAATGATTACACTCAAAAGTCATGCGGCGACCGGCCATCTTTACATATCCCAGCACGCCACGAAAAGTGGCACCAACGTCCGGCCCCTTTCACAGATGCACGATGATCCGTCGAAAATGTGTCCGTTTCGCTGTCCATTGAGGTGACACATTCCACGCTGCGGCCGTCGAGAGCGCAAACTTTGTGATGTAGCAAACGGCGATATCAACTGTTCAAGGCATCTGGTCCGCGCTGCCTCGGCGGTCTAGCGTCTTCGTGACAACCACCCGGGCGCTGTGCTTTCCACTTACGGCTTAGAAGGGCCGAGCGGACAGCTGTGACGCCGATCTCCCGGCCTCCTCCCCGGGCGTTTGAAGAGGCCCTTCAGTGCAACCTCTTGAACAATGCGCCAAGTCAAACGTTAGGTAAGCCGCGGTCAGCTGTCAGGTGCGGGATCACGTGTCTTGATGGGGTCAAGATTTGGCGACTCGAGAGAATTTGAGAATGGACCCAGGGGTTGCGTCAGGGCGGGTGTAAACCCCACTGCCGGAGTTCTGCCGCATTCTTTTTTTCGCGTCAACCGTGGTCCGTGCTCGCTTTCCCAGCGCACAAACGGAGTCGGCAAGCCCTGACAAAATTCAACACCATCCTCTAGAAATTTCAACCGCCTTGGAGGAACCGTCAACACCACTCGTCGCACTTCAAGTCAACGAACCCGTTCCCCCCCAAAATTCGACAAAATGGCCAAGCGCACGAAGGTTCGTAATGCTCTACTACCCCATCCAGGACGAATGGCTTCATCGACTTTCCCGTCATTGCTTGGACTTCCCTACCCCGCGTCGAAACCGGCCCACGATTTTCCCTCATTGGCGACAATGGCATCCATCACGGGCTCGGTTTGGTGGTTGGGTTAGGGAGGAACATGTAGGCCGCCTACGCAATATCCCCGAGCGCAACGCGAGACGATGACGAGAGAGAGATACACACGAGACGAGCGAATGACCATGGACGCCAACTTTGACGAAACTCCCGACTCCAGGAAGGCAGATGCCACCAACCGTTGATCACGAAAGTCATCCGATTTGCCTGTGCACCGCAGGCTCGGTGTGCTTCACCGTCGACAATTGAGCTATCTCAACTCGTACACGATTAAGAGCAATATCTCGACCAAAACTCGAACCTCTCTCTCGTCTAGACTCCCAGCTCGGGGGCTATTTGCTGCCAGGCGGCCCTCTGACGCGATCGTCGATAAGCCAGGAACCAAGAGTATTGAAACCACAGATTTCTAACAACCTCACAGAAGGTCGGAGTGACCGGAAAGTACGGTACCCGTTACGGTGCCTCCCTGCGTAAGCAGGTCAAGAAGATGGAAATCTCCCAGCACGCCAAGTACACCTGCACCTTCTGCGGCAAGCCTACCGTCAAGCGCCACTCCACCGGCATCTGGAACTGCAGAGGCTGCAACAAGACCGTTGCTGGCGGTGCCTACACTGTCGCGTATGTTGACACACGACGAGAAGTCGGACTAGAAACTGAACGCTAACACTGCAAATAGCACCCCCGCCGCTGCTGCCATGCGCTCCACTCTCCGTCGTCTGAGAGAGATTGCTGAGGTTTAAGGGACGGGATTACGAACGGTGGATGGTTTCTGCTTTGCATTTCGGGCGGTGTTGGGAAAATCGGATATCGTGCCTACATCCTGACGATGGCCATAACGGAACGGGTCTTCGGTCAGCTGCCAGAGGGACCACTTGGTCAGCAATGAAAAGAACTTGACGTACAAACAAAACGTCCCCTTTCTCCCGATCGCTTGACCCTCCCGTCCGTCCCTGAGACACGCCCACCGACCTGCTCAGGCAAGTCATATCGTGAAGTGGTGAAGAGCGTTGCGAGGTCATTTGGCAGGGCGTGTGGAGTTAGTTGGCATGGATAGAGTCATCGACCCCGTCATCTTCAGCCGCGTGGTTGAAGCGTCGAAGCGGGCCACCCAACATCAAAAAAAGATTTGCTCCAGTCATCATGAGAGATACCTCCACCAGGCTACGTAACCGTGATTCAGCATAGAGAACAGCGCCGTAAAGGTGTCCACGTCGAGGCCGAGTCATCTCCAGTCATTTCTGGGAATAGCAAGGCAAAGAGGAGTGATCCGCTTGGGTGCCTGCGTTGGGGGGTGTGTTCCACCAAGGTTCTCACGAAGCCCGGTATTCATCTCGGTGTCCTGAGGCGGGTTGAAACCTCGACGAAGGCCATTCTCGAAGCAAAGCGAACAAGTGCGCGGCAGTCGTTACGGTAGCGATGCCACGTCGAATCACAACTTGACTCATCCCGGTGTTCTAGACTTACAAGGCGCGAATGCAGCTGGGGGGTCAGGCGGTGGGCCAATGAGGCAGCCCGGCTGTCGCGGTGAAGACAAGTTAACCGAAAAGCACAGTGGGTTTCCGATTGCCATGTAAGTCGGTGAGTTGAGCTTCTCACCTCGACCCTGTTTTTTCGATATCGCTGCACGTATGCCACCTTAGCAGAGAGACACATACAAAGACGCCCAACCGCGAGCCGAGGATCTCACGAAAGTTCAAAGTACCAGAGAGTATCGGCGTCCGCAATACCACGCAAGTATCCGGTAAGCGGTATACCTTGGGGGGCTCAGAGAACTACGGGCTGTGAGCCTATGCCGCGCGGAAATGCCGCCGTAAACGAGAGCAGGTTCACATGGGTATAAAACGCCGTATACATCCGCAGCAAATTGGCCAGTTTTAATGACTGAGTCTGGCTTTCTTACCCTTCCCGTGTCTTTTCCCCCCCTCTGTCAATTAGATGTGGGAAAAGGCAAAGTAGCATCCGGCCGGGACGAGCGGCCGTCGACGAACAATCAATGATTTAATGGAAAAAAGGTTGCTCGGGCACACCAAGCACCAAGGAAGAGACCGGACTCTGGGCTTGGGGTCGCAACCTGACGCAGGCCAGGCCCCATCGAACCAATCTCGTCGGCCTCCGAGAAACGAGGGGCATGAAGGTCTCACGTGTACCTTGCTTTACGGACACAGCGCCGTAACTTAGTTTCCCTCCCAATTGGCAATTGCCCATTTGCCTGGCACTGCCTATGCCACTGCCCCCCGACTCCCGTCATCCGGGATGGGTGCAGGCAGCCCATTTCTGGAAGCGGAGATAGCACCCATTGTCGACCTGACCCATTCCAGCGCCGAATACTCACGCCCTGCGCCCCGACTTTACCTCTTCAGCCATCATCATTTTCCGCCCTCGACCGCTTCCCACCGTTGCACGTTCCCGTTGCTTCTGTTTGTACCGCGATTGTCTCCAGATTACCCCCTCATATTACTCGGGCTAACGTTGCCGTCGTTGCGCGCCAACTCGGAACACTACCTCCTTGTCTTGCCTTGCCTTGCCTCACCTCACACTCACATCAAGAACACTTGGGGCTAGGTATCTAGGTACTACAAAGTACGTTTTACGCAGTTCACCTGACAGGAGGGCCTGACGTAGACGCCCTCACACCTCGCCCTCCATCAAAGGCGTCTCAAGTTCTCAACGCCATCCGCCACTTGGGTACCTACCTATCGAACCGACCTAAGACTCTCTTCCATGATCCATCACACCCACGCTCAGCTGGATCGAGGTACCTGACCAAAAAGTCACCAAACAACATCGCACGAGCCAAGTAGCCAATCCATTGAGTGTTTGACTCGCCGCCCACCTTACCACCTTCCCCCTTCCCACCGTTCTCCCCCGGACATAGCTCTTTCACTCTCAGTTGTTTCTGGCACTCTGGCACTCCGTGATTCAGTACCTACCTGATTGGAGGATTGGTCAATAGACAATTGAGAGGAGCTGTCGAATCGTGAGGAGAAAGGCCTGGCAAACGCAAACCCGAAGTAACGCAACCACGCAAGCTCCCAGCCGTTGTTGTCGTGGTTTTGCCGCCAAGTCGAGGTACGTACCAAATCGTTTTCTTTATTTTCTTCCCGCCAGAGGTGTCCCCATACGTACCTAGTTACGTGCCTACACCTTTAGATGACAACGTTGCCGAGTAGGAGGAGTTGTTACTGCAGTAGTAAACATCATCCCTCAACAGGCCATCTTATTTCCCGAGGGTGTTTTTGAGCGTTTCCTCGGCGTGGGATGTCCGTGAGGTGAGATGTTGCCTCCGGGCTGGTGTTGATGCTCCGGCTCCTGCATCGATCCATGGAGAGTACGTGCTCTTGCAGGCTTGCAGCGACCCTAGTGGGCTAGTGTGGTCCGTCTCAGTGCGTCGACCTGCTTCGAGCATGCGTCTAGATGCACGTTTGTGTCCACGGGTGTGTGTGTGTGTGACAGAGTGTGACTGCGAGGGTGCTGCCGTTGCTGGTGGAGGCATGGGATGCAGTTCCATGAGGTCCCTGTCCACTGTCCAGCCCAGTGGGCCATCGACTGGGAAGCCCGCGAAGGGTGAGGTGCAAAGGACGAAGGACCAAGGTGCAAGGAGCGTGGCGCACCACTGCATCAGCCGGTTGTTGATTGGCTCCAGTCGAGACCAGCTACAGGCGTGCGCTAAGCTCGCAAAAAACCCGCCTTGGGGGTCCTGGCCTCTCCAAACCTTTCCTCTTACAATTCCCGTTCAGTTCTCCAGGTCCCAAGGTCTTCTCGGGTAGCCCAGCACCGCCATTTTACCTACCTACCACCTTTCCCAAGACTCCCAAGACTCCCATACCGCCCCCCGTCCACCAGTGGGCACCTCACCCACGAACATACCTCATCCTCACTTTGAAAGAAAGGCGACCATACCAGATCCTTTTCTCTCCCTTTTCACTCTTCCTACTTGTCTCGCCTCACCAGAAAAGCACTGCCAGCCAAAGTTTGAAGCCCCCCTCTTCTCTCCACACCGGCCACTTTATTTCATCGTATATCTTACTCGTCTTTTTTTGCTGCTTGGTTTCCCTGCCTAGCGCAGCGGCGAAACATCCCCCGAACCGGCTGACAGTCCATCTCGCGCCAGAAACGCAGGACATATCGAACTTACCTACCAAACCTGGGCCACCTTCCACTTTCCCCCTCCAACCCCCAAAGTGCCCCCCTTGGCACCCTTCCCACTCTTCAGCAACCTGCCCAGTTGGTCGTGCGTTTGTGCACTCGACTGATAGCGACCCGACAGCCGTTCAGTCGCCTCAACACTCCCACCTCAGGCCTGCCACTACCACCACCAGACACTGAACAACTCGGCACCTCTCTTTTTTTTTCCCCTCTACCTACCATCTGCCACCCCACGACCGACACAACAAGGCAATAAAGCCCATAAACAAGTTCACGCAATCACGGCTACAATAACAATATCCACGCACATATTCCTGCAATCTCAAAGCCATCTATTGGCCCTGCTCAAAGACGTTTTTTTATGAATTCATCAAACCTCAAGCGATACTACCACAGTTGCCACAATGACTGAACCGGATCAGTGCATCATATGCCTGGAGTCGCTGCAGCACCCCTCGTTGCAGCAACAGCAACAGCAGCAAGACGTTGCTGCTGGAAACGTAGCGGGCCCAGCGGCTGCAAAAGCAACAGCAGCAGCCACCACCACAACAGTACAGCCAACCTACCGTGCCATCGACTCAGATCTCGAAATACTAGAAGAACCAGAGTCAAATTACATTGCTACCCTCGTTGGCTGCAATCACGTTGTCCACGATCAGTGCATCAGAAGTTGGGCCAAGAACTCCAATACTTGCCCCATCTGCCGTACACCCTTCAATGAGGTCAGCCTCTCATCTGAGCTCAACGGTACGTATCAAATCATCCCGCCTCGCAATAGACGCTCGCAGCAGCAGCAGCAGCAGCAGCAGCTTTAGCAACAAGAAACTAACCTTGGTGACAATAACAGGCCCCCCTATCGATTCGTACGCTGTTCAAGACAAGAAGCAAGAGCAGGAGTTTGATATCCACAGATGGCTTCAGGAGAACCCCGAGGGCGAAGGCGAGGAGCCGAGTCCTGCCTGTCCCATATGCGAGTCCTCGGATCATGAAGAGGTGCTGCTCCTCTGCGATGGTTGCAACGCGGCCTATCATACACACTGCATCGGCCTGTCTGGTGTTCCCCAGACCGAGTCCTGGTACTGCTTTGAGTGTGATGAAAACAACAATGCCAGCCGATCCAGCCCTAGTGAGGCTTCGGATGTCGAAGTGATCCAGTCACGGCCTTTGAACCCAGCTGCACGCTCAGCAAACCGACGAAACGTTACCGCTCAAAGAGGCTTGTTGCGAACCCAGTTGCAAGCTAGAAATGCACGACGCGAGGCAAGATCCCTCGAGTGGCAGGGTGCATGGGACCGGATTGCTAGTCGCATTTACGATGCTACTGACATCGACCTCGACAACCACGAAGACGAAGACTTATTTCAGGGCTTTCGCCGCGCCCAGGCCCAGAGAGGACACTTTCGCGATATCCAAGAACACCAAGACTGGGAGCAGCGCATGAGCATCGCCAGTCGTCTAGGCGCCAGAGACATCTTTGCGAGAAATATTCGCCCAACCGTCGGTCATCGCCTCGACGGTGGCCCAGTCGAACCCGTCATGCAACCCCTTCCGCCGGCTCCCGAGACGAGAGAGGAGCAGCAGGCTTGGGGCGCCCTCGAGAGGGCTCGCGAAGCCGAGACGAGCGCTCCCAATCCCCGCAAGAGAAAGTCGAGATCTACCACGGCTTCTCCCCAAGAACCCGCTCAGGAACCCGAGCGCAAGCTGAAGCGACCTCGCACACGCCGATTGCCTTTGCAGGGAGAAGGCTCCGGATCGGGCTCTGCCTCGGCTTCAGTGTCGGGATCTGCATCTGGATCTGGCACCGCTTCAGGCGTCGGCCCTACCATTGTGTCGGCACTCGCCCCCGCACCTACGATAACTTCGTCACCCGCGCCGACGAGTGTTCTGACATCGCGGCCTCAAACGAACGGTGCCACGCAGCGCGTCCAGTCTCCCATCAATACGGAACCCGGACCATCATTCCTGTCGTCGCTGCTTAAGGAGGTGGAGATGAGCGCACCTTCCGACGACGAGACTGTGCGGAATTATTTCGGTACTCACTCTGGTGTTGACCCCTCTTCGCCAGTCACATCCCCCTCGCCATCATCACGAAACTCACCGCGGGCGCTTTCTCTCACCCCGCCACCCCATCCCCGGCCCAGCTCACCTACGCTATCTCTAAGCTCCTATGTGGAACCGCGGTTCCCCAAAGCCAACTACTCGCCGACTCGAAACGCTGGGGACAGTAGTGACTCTGACAGTCGATCGAACGGCGCGGAAATTCGCCAGCCTCGCCCACAGCGACCGAACCGTCAACGACCGACCTTTGCTCGGTCTCAGGATTCGTCGCCTACGCGATCCGCCATCCCCTTTGAGACCAAGGAAAGAATCAGCGGCATCGTCCGGGCTGCCCTCAAGCCCCATTGGCGCGCGAAGGAGCTCACCACCGATCAATATGCAAACATCAACCGAGATGTCTCCCGCAAGCTGTACGAGGGCCTTCGCGATCCGCAGACGCTGGACGATGATGCCAAAAAGACTTGCGAAAAGATCGCTACCAAAGAGGTGGCCCGTGCGATTGAGGAACTCAAGGCTTGATCGGCGCTCGGCAGCATAAACGAACGAACGATATCGGGCATTAGGCGTTATTGGTGTTTGGCAGCGAACCAAGCGGTCTAATACCCAAACACTCCATTCCAAAGGAGGCTTCTTTTTTTGCAAAATTTCAACTTTGATTTCCCCGTGTCTCTGGGATTGGGCGGGGGAGAGGCACAGCTGTATCTTAGGGGTGGGGTCTCGTAGCAGCTCGAATCGCTCGGATCTCTTGGAAAGAGACTCTGTCAAGGGCGTGACCCACGATTAGGCTGGAAAGGCTTTCTGTACTTTAGCAGGTAGATAGACGACGACGACACGACGAATGGATATTACGACTCTCATTGATAAGCACCAGCACTCGTGAACACCCTCGAGCTATAGCTGCAGCGGCACAGTCAGCAGCACCATGTGACATGTGGAGCAGAGAATTCACGTATGCGGTTGTCGCGACGCATTGCTTGCCACATAGCGAGAGTCCACTCCGGACTCTGCTGATGCGGTAGCAGAAGCCAGCCATTCTTAAACAGCGGTCAAAGGCGCTGATGTGTTTGCAGTAGCTATCTAACATGAACCCAGTAAAAAGATGCAGGTGCTGCTAGCGAAAAAAGACTGCGATTTACTCTGGGCACCGTAATAAATGATCAGGACGTTCTGGAGGCGGAACAGGTCTTGACGATAAGGAAATGGTGCCGTGAAGAGGAAAAAGAAGTAAAAGAGAGAAGTTTCGCGGCAGGGCGTCGGGTTGATAAAGGCTCTGCGCGGTCCCACCCACCCCAGCCCCCGCTACGGTACCTCTGCTTACGTGATTGAGACCCGCGCTTGTCAGGCGCGATATTGACCCGGGCGCCTGTCAAGATCGACCTTGCTTTTCAGGTACAATATGAGGCACCTCAAGATTTACCTTGTGCTGCATCCGCGCACGGTGCACCTCGTCGGACCTCTGACCTTAGGTAAGCGCCGCCCAGGCCATTCGGTACGTACCTCTGCTAAGCTTGAACAGCAAAAAAGTTCAATTCCCATCTGGAGATTCTCGACTGAGGTGTCAAGGAGGAGACCCCGTACACCCAGCGCTTTTCATGATGACAGCTTCCAGCAGAGGCGCATTCGCCGCCCTCGGGCGCATACAATGTATGTTTACGTTTCGGATGAACATTGAGATCATTGGCTGACTTTGAGTCCCCCTTACAGCAACCCCCAGAGTCTGCAGACAATGCGCGAGGGTCCAGATTAGAGCTCCAGCTCCCTCGCGAGCGTACTCGGGTGCCGCTGCCGCCGCAACGACCACGACCACGACCAACGCTCCCCCTCCTCCTCCCCCTTCGTCAAAAGTCAGCAAACCAAACGAACCCAAGGCGGCTGCGGCGGACATCACGATCCCGCCACCCTTGATCCGCGCAGGCGTGATCCTCACGCGGGCGCCGCTCCTGACGCGGCCCCTGACGGACTTTGAGCAGTCCTACTTCTTCTACCAGAAGCGCCTCAACGAGCGCCTGACGATGCCCTTCATCACGTCCGTCTACTTCAAGCCCGACACGCCGGCGCTGATTGACTGGAACATGAAGGTCAAGGACCGCAAGGGCACCGTGGCCAAGGAGCTGGGCGTGTACAACGGCAAGGCGTCGACGGCGTGGGACGACGAGCTGGCCGTCGGCGACGGGCTGAGCAAGCACGACAAGGCGGTGGAGCTGCTGCTCAAGGACGCCGTGATGCGCGTGAGCGACGACGCGGAGATTATCCCCGAGGAGGACCGGGCGCCGCCCGAGGCGTTGGCGCCGCGGGTGTCGGAGGCGGATATCAAGGGGGACCAGACGAGGTTGGATCGCGCCATGGAGAGGACGCTGTATCTTGTCGTCAGGAAGGCCGGTCGCAAGAAGGATGTCTGGGAGTTTCCTGCGGCGGGATTGTCTACGGAGGAGAACCTTCACGAGGTGAGCTTTTTTATCCACCCCATATCGACCCCCTCTCTCTCCCCCTTCCCATGCTTCGATATCGATATATGCTAACGTTCTTTACAGGCCGCGCAGAGAATCCTCGACGACACGGCGGGCGTCAACATGAACACGTGGATGGTCGGCCGCGGCCCGGCCGCCGTGCACGTGGCCAAGACGCAGGTCAGGCGCGGCGAGCTCTTTGAGCGCGGCAGCAAGACCTTCTTCCTCAAGGGCCGCATCATGGCGGGACAGGCGGACCTGACGGCCAACAAGTTTGGGTACAAGGAGTTCAAGTGGCTGACCAAGGAGGAGCTCGCCGAGGTGCTGGAGCGGGGTTACTACAACAATGTGCGGGGCATGATGGTGGACCGGTAGATGTATGCCTCTATAATGGTTTGGCTCGGCCGGCGCCATTTCTCAAAAGTGGTGAAAATGGGTGGCAGACAAGTGGTTGTCGGAGAACGGTTGAGAGGACGTGTAACGCTGTTGTATCATAGATAAACTTGTACAATCAAATCTTTCACTGGATTTTGTGGCTGCCTGCCCAGAGCTTGATTGTGCTGGTTTGTGCTTTCGACTTTCGGCTTGACTTGGGTGTGAGATGCTCATTTTGATGTAATTCTGCTCCCCAGACATTAGAACCGTCGTCAGTTCGAGGTGATTTTGCCTTAAAAGCACGCGAAAAAGGCATGTTGCCTATGAGATACCACGTCGTCCTCCATCAACTCGAGAGAGTTGAGTCTAGCGTCTTTGGATGCTTCGAAGACGTTGACCTTTCTGTCTACAATGCTGGTCTTACCGTTATTCAAGAGTAGATAGATTTAACAGCAATAATGGAATGCCGTGCGTGATATCACATAGCTTGTCAACTTGCTGAAACATTGGGCCTTTGCATGTCCACATGTGTTCCATTATTCTTTAAGCTATCCATACCAAGGGAATCCAAGTAAATATGTAGGAAAACACAATTCAACTACTTCATCTTTGCAGTTCCAGTTTAGACACGTATTATGCTTTCTCACGCAAAGCAGGGTTGCTTATACCAATTTAATATCGTGTCCAACTACCTCGTATAACCACAAACAGTAATCTCTAGAGGTGAGGTCGCAAAGACAAACCCATAGCAGCGTCTCTCGATCCCACCCTCTCCTACCTCACACCGCGCCTTCCTCCCTCTCGTGGATTTCACCTCCCACGTCCAGCCACAAGCCTCAGCCCCACCTCTTCATCCATCCCATGGCTGCCTTCCCTCCGGACCTCCTAACCGCCTGGCCTACCCTCTAAACTCTTCTGCATTTCTTCAACAATCCGTGGCGCAATGGGATCAGAGAGGCGTTCCTTTGACGAGGAGCGTCCCCTTGCGTCACGGGTGCGTGGGTTCGAATCCCACCGCCGTTAGAAAACCTCCATCGTTACACCTGAGGCTGGTAAGAGTCTCGGGGTTTTCATAGATTCCGCTGTCCGCAAGGATAAGAGTTGAACTTTTTGACTTTCTCAATCTTTTTTTAAAAAGTTTCCATTGCCTCACGCTGGGCGTGATAAGACGTGTTTACTGGCTTTTAGATTATTATTCACTACCTCGGGCAACCTGTGGCCTTAAAACGACACAGTGATTTCGTATAATGCTTTATTACGATGCTTTATTACGAGGAAACTCGATTTTGCGATGGCCAGTCTCAAAACTCTGCAATTTCCTTCCTTCTGCGCAAGGACGCTGTTGTCTACTGAAGGGTTGGTGTTCCCTTTTCATTTACAAGCCGGACAGGAATACGCAAGCAAAACCTCCGAAGAACGACCTGCCTTGCCACAGAAGTCGAGTGCTTTTGCCTGTTTATTGCTGTCACGAGGTGCTCCTTCCTGAATTCGTCTCCTCTTGGTGGCTTCTCTTTTTTTTTTTTGTTTCCCTCCACCCACAGCTTCCTTCCTGCCTCTTTTTCTTCCCCTTATACTACTCCCACTTTTCTTGCCGCTTTCCTTCAACCTTTCCTTCTATTTCCTTCTACCTTACCTCCTACCTTTCCTTCTCAGCTACTGACGACTGGCGGCCAAAAGCTTGACAACACCTCGACGCCCAGCATGGAAGTCTCGTCAGAGAACTTCTGGCGGCAGCTGCCAAATATTCTGCTGTCCATCGCGAAGTCCGACTTCGTTGCCATCGATCTCGAGATGACCGGCATCACGGACAAGAGCTCGGCAGACCACTCAGAAAACCCAACCAACCAGCAAATCTATGAATCGGCCAAGAAGATTGCATCCAAGTTCAACGTCTTTGAGATGGGGATGACGTGTATCCAAAGCCAGTCAGGTTTGTGTTCTCCACGTCCGAAGAATATCATCCGTCGCATTCTGACAAAATTCCAGACGGCTCATACAAAACCGAGACCTATAGTTTCACTGTCAGCCCCTACCTGCACACAGAAACGCGAGCTGATGAAAAGTTCGTCAAAGGCTTGGATAGGAGCCTTTCTGTATCATACAACACTCTCAAGTTTCTTCGATCGGAAGGCATCCGGCTGGAGAAGGTCTATGAGGACTGCGTTCCGTACCTCAGCCGCGAAGAGGCACGCTTGGCAGTTCGACAGATGCAGCGCCGACAAGATCCTTGGGACGCCAAAGATCATGGATACAACGAGGACGACGAAGGTCTGACTACGTTTTCCATTTATGCCCATAACACGATTGTAAATTGGCTTTACACCGATCCATGGATGGTGTGTGTCACTGGTTCCTTTATCCTCTATCTACAAAAATCCCTTCCTCTTAGAATCTCGTTACTTTCTACTGAGTATACTAATCGCGACATGGGACAGCGAACTCTAGAGATCAATGTCCTCTTACCCAACTCTGATAGTAAGAAACGTATGAGCGTCTACGAACAGATCGTTCGTAGAAAGGCCCGAAAGCTTGTGCCACGAATGGTTTGCCGTCTTTGGAATCATGGCACAACCGTGGTTATCTCTCAGCGGGACGATGGACAAGAAGCCAAGGTTCGTTTACAGCGGCGCGGATAACTGTGATGAGAACACTGACAGCTGACTTCACCAAGAGGCGTGAGTCTCTAGAGGACGATCTCAACGCATCGTTGAGGAAGTACGCAGGTGGGCTCCCCTCAGTGTGCAATGCTTTACTGGTGGCTGACTGATATAAGGAATACGCCTGATTATCGAAGCCCTTGTCGGCGGCAAGTTTGCCAACCTCATTAACCCCGACCTCATTGTCGAAGCCATGTCTGGCTGGCCTGGCGAAGCACAATGCTTTTGTCTTGAGGTGCATGAGCTTGTTCATCCCGCGGCACCAGAACAGTGGGAAGAATCTCCAGAGGAAGAAGTCGAGGGTCGCTATTGCTCCTGGTGCTGCACACATCACGACCCTGACACAGGCTGCTCTAGCACGTCCTTAGGTCAGGACGTCGAAGTGGCATTTCAAACAAACTTGATCACCAAAGACGAGTGCCTCTGTATGAAGAAGCGGAACTTATCCAGAAGCCGAGTTGAAGATAATGAGCTGATGCCCTTGGTGTATGATGTTCATTGCGAACGTTGCTACCCCGATCTTGGCAGCAGCCGGCCTGGGATCAACTCTTCCCCTCACCATGACATCCCTCCACAGGCCACACATATTCAAGGAGCTCACTCGGCGAGCCACGATGGAGAATCCTCAAGCAGTTCGGAGGGAGTGGCAGGTGGCGAGTTTCAAGAGGGCGACACTGGTACTTGGCATATCACAGCTGAGACAGCCGGCTGGGATGAGCCGACTGGTTGGGACAAACTGTGTCACGATCTCGAGGATTTATCCACGGAAACACTCAAGAATGAAGTAGCAGATGCTCTTCAGGAGCTAGAAACTTTAGGCCGAACGTCTTCGCCAACCATTAGCGGACACAACCAATTCATGGACCTTTTGTTCCTTTACAACACCTTCATCGACGACCTCCCCGACAGCTTTTTGGAGTTTTTGGTAAATATTCACGAATTGTTCCCACGCATCGTGGACACGAAGTTGTTGGCCATCAAAGATGAGACGATCGAGGGCGAAGACCCATTGATGGATCTATACAATAGGTTCGATGGCAACAGAACGCAGCCAAGCATCCATTGGGATGCAGCTTATGGCTATGGCCGTCGTGGAACAGCCCATCAGGCTGGCTTCGATAGTGAGTTGGCAGAACAAGCAGAACCGTGAGTGGCTCGACTAATGAAGATAGGCCACATGACGGCAGTTGTGTTTCTGCGAATTGCCCACAAACTCGCCCGCGAGGAATCGGCCAAGCTCGAGGGCCGAGCCGCGTCATACGAGAGCAAAGAATGGAGATTGTATGACAGAGAATGGCTATCAGCAGTTGGATACGATTCACAATTCCTGGGCTATTCGCAAGACTCGGACATTGGCACATGGAGAGAGTCCAACACCCAGGAAGGGTACGTGGGTCGGATTCGGTGGCAGATGGCCATATTCGACGACATTCGCGACCGAATTCGGATCGCCCCCCGCAAGACATTTAATATCGGGCCCGAATGGTGAGTTCAAAGTTGAGCTTGCGACGGAGCGTAATTGCCCTTCGATTGAAGAGTTTGCCGACCGTGCCAACGCGAAATCGCGTCTTGGGTTGTTGGTGGTGGCACTGGTCTCATGAGTAGGGAGACGCGTTTGTGAGTAGGACAATGGATTTTTGCAATGTCGTTGAGGACGGATGACCCTTGGTGGATTTCTGGAGACGCCCCGCAAAACTATGTTTCGATAGATGAGCCTATCCATACTTGATTGAAAGCACAATAAGAGCACGTCGGCATTCGTCAGATTATTTGACATGTTGGTCAGGGCCACTCCTTCCCATCAGCTTATGAGCCTTATATGTTCCAGCTGCTCAGCGATTCCTAGGACGTAAGATGATCCGGTTCTAGAACCCCGCGACGAAGAAAATTCCACGTGTACCGAGCACCCCAACGACACTTTGGTGCCAGTCATGAGAGGTGGATGGTCACTCGATGACTACAATAGGAAATGCACCGATGTAAGCATCAGGGGCTAAATGGCGATGACATTCTCTCCGGGAGCCGCGTGGTTCTGCGTCCCGCGAGATGCCTCGGAACAATCTGGGGAAGCACAGGGGGGCCAGAAAAGTCTAAACCCTGAACGCGTTCGCGCAAACTTGCGATTGACAGTTGAGAGGGGTAATTAATAGGATATCATAATAGACGCAACTGAGCAAAGCAGTAATTGAGAAGGGAATCCCGACTTGGCGGGTTGAATACAACACGAAGATTTGAAATGACAGGCCGCAGCGAGCATGAGACGATCGTCTCTAAATGGTTGGTGATCTCCGGGAGGTGAGATGAAAGCTCGGCCGGTCGTCGAGGGCAACCCCTGTTTCTCCGACCCAGGCACAGCGTCCTCCCCGATCAGGAAACTCCACCCAATGAGAAGTTCAAGAAGGCCGGACGCCGGGAGAAGGCCGCGCTCGTGGAGGCTAAAGAGGTACTTGACATGTGAGCCGTCCAGCGACAACGTCACTGGTACTCGCTTATCGCTCCCCTCCCCTCATGCTCTGGCGGTCAGCTGGCCAGCCACCCCAGTGGCAGCATACAACGCAGCAACGCAGAAGCTGGGGGGGAACCCACTAAGAAACAAACCGAGGCTAAACTTGGGCCATGGCCGAAAAGTGTAACCGTGCCGGTGCGTGCCTGTCCCGGGCAGCTGTGCAGGTGCTGCGGTAATCGGCATGTTTGTCTGTCAGCAGACTCCAATTCCATTCTCCAGCAACCCCCAGCTACCTCAGCACCACCACTACCACACACCACACACCACCACCATAACGCCCAGGAACCCGAATCTAACCACATCCACATGTCGCGGCTCTCTTCACAACCCGCAGGTGGCATTTGAGCAGGAACGCGTATGATGGCCGCCATTCTCCGCACTCCAGATACATAACAATAGTCCCCGTTCTTTTTTCCCTCATTTCCCTCCGCCTGGGGCTCTTCAATGCCGACAAATTGACCCCGTTGCTTGCTGCTGTTGCCTCCCGTTCCTAAATGCCCGCCAACATGTCGTCCCTCAATGGCTCCTACACGGCGACCTTGAGTCCCACGGTCGCTTCTTCCGAGACCACCGCTACATTCCCACCACATATGCTCGCGAGCTCCATCTCGTCTCTATCCTCATCAACCTCAGCGCGCCATACCTCGCAAATCTCAAAGACCTACCGCCAGGCTTCGACTCTCTTCCTCACCCGCCGTCTACCCGAGGCACTATCCACCATCTTGCCATTGATCACCCCGCCCTCGGGACAGTCGGAGAACGGCGCAGGCGAACCAGCGCCCGTCGCCAGGGCCTCGCGATCCACGAGGATCAAGGTCTGGAGCTTGTACCTGACGACGCTCAACGCCATCGTCGAACTGGAGCCAGACGAAGGAAAGGATGCGTTTGGGAGCCAAGAGTGGAGAGCGCTGTGCACCAAAGTCAGGGAAGGAGACATCTGGGAGGAGGTCGTACGCAACGGATACCACGGCGTCGAGAGCGACGTCGATTCGGACGTTGTCATTAATCTGTAAGACACCCTCTCTGTCGTTGTTTTTTTTCTGTTGCAAACACACACTAACAACAACGTAGCGCAACACTTTTACTAGCCCACGCCCGGACACAAGAATTGAACCAAAGGAAGCTCGAGAGCTATCTCGCAGCCGCCACATCACCAAATCTGGACTTCTCCAAGAGATTTTCCGACTCGCCGTCGCCGTCACCACGGCTGAACCGGCATAGGTCTCCGGCGAAGGCCACCAGCGGAGCGGATACACCGAGGGATCTGAATGCTAGGGTCAAGATCCTCGAGCTGTACACGCTCCACGTACTTATCCGCAATAATGAGTGGGATTATGCCCGAGAGTTTATCAGCGTCAGCTCGGTACTAGACGATGAGCGCCGCGAGGCGTTTTTGCAAGCTCTGCAAAGCCTGCAGGAGGAACAGCAGGAAGCCGAGAGGCGAGAGACGGAAGAACGACGCGAGCAGGAAGAACAGCTTCGGCGTGATATTGAGGAGGCGAAGAAGTTGAGAGCCGAGAATGAAGAGAGGGAACGACGGAGATTAGAGGAAGAGAGGGCACGAAGAGAAGGCGCCGAAGGGGACTACGGCATCGAAAAGACACCGAGTAAAGCAGGCTCGAGTAAGGCGGGGTCAAGCAAGGGACGTCACGCCAGGGCCGTTTCCAACACATCAGGGTCCAACTCTAATTCGAAGATGCCCGTCTCTAGGGCAAAAGGGAAATCTTCAGCTCCGCCGACCTTTGGAACGAGGGCGTCAATGGTCATCTCTCGGATGCGCGAGGTGATTGACCAGCTGGGAGCATCATTTAAGACGAACCCGATGCTGCTGATGCGGCTCGTGGCCTTTATTTTGGGTTTGGTCGTCATGTTCGGGCAGAAGAATGTCCGCGAACGGATACAGCGGGTGCTTGGTAATGGTTGGAATAAGGTCAAGGCGACCGCGGGAATGGGAGTCAAGGTTAGCTACATATGATTACGACGCGGGTACTTGGCTAGCTTTGACCTCACTGTACTATACGAACTTGGATGAACATTGGCCTAATTGTTTGGCCATTCTTTTTGATACTTATGCAAAATGAAGCATTTCCTTTGTTTGGTGAAACCGTTTCATGCCGCTTTAAAAAAGATTATCATGTCTGACTTAGTGCCAATTATGCCGCAAAACCCTTGTCCCATAGCTGTGAACCAAAACACATCAAACGCCGCAGGCAATGCGATACCTGTTCCACGAAAACTGTGTAGTCTCCTCTGTCTACTCGCATTCAAACAACACATCAAATTTGCCCATATCTTAGGCGACGCAGGGGCTAGTACGTCGCCGTCCGATTGGTTTTCTTCTGGTAGAACAGGTCGGTCCTGGAGCTGCCGAGGTTTATAATCTTGGGGCACCCGTCGCGGTCCTTTTCAAGGCGCGTGCACTCGAAGCAGTAAAAGGCGTCCGAGATGCCCTCGCCGCCGCAGACGACGCACTTGTTCTGGTAGTTTCCGAACGAGCACTCGTCGCAGATGCGGACGAGGGTCGTGGGGCGGACGTAGGAGTCGCAGACGGGGCACTTGCCGTCGCACTTGTCGCAGAGGCGGCCGATGGCGATGCCGGCTTGCTTGCGGCACATTACGAGATCGCTGGCGGGAGTTGTTAGCTTGTGCATAAATTTTGAGGGGTTGACTGGGAGATGGCCTACGGGTGATGGCGCGACATGATGGTCAATCTGTGAGAGAAGCGCCTCTGGGTGGTGAGGTTTGGTGGAAGCTGTCTTGCGGGTCGCGGGAGGTGATGGTCGCAAGTCGCAGCTTACCGTACCCTCTCTTCACCAGGAACCTTTGAAGAAAAGACGTCCGCGCCTTTCAGCCTCGCCACTTCTTCCTCTCGGTTCTCTTTCGGTCATTGGTGCGGACCCTCGTCTGATCCGACCAAAGTGGGGTAGTCTGTGGGTTCGTCCCTCCGAGTGGCTGGACCCCGCTGACAAACCTCAGCCTTGGAGCTCGGGTTGGAGCTGTCAAGCTCCGGGATACCTCCCATGGGACCGAGGCGCATTCAGTTCTCTTCGTGCACACCGCATTCCTTCGCGTTCTGTCTTCTTTGAGATTGTTGCCGAGCAGACTGCGACTGCGACGGTGGGAAGCGACATCATCATGGCCACTGTTACAGAGTACAACAAAACCGGCTCCCTTCGGACCGAGCAAGAGAAGCTTACAGATTCCAGGGCACCTGCTGATACCATCAACCCCGAATCCGCGAGCTCTGACATGGAGGTTACACAAAAACGGAAAGCGTCTATAGACTCCCTTGATGGAGCGGAAGAATCATCAAAAAGGGCAAAATTCGATGATGGCGATCACGGCGACCCACCTGCACAGGATTCGACACGGGACTCGAGGCCGCGCGACGAAGATTCCCGAGCCAGTACCGCTCGACGGGCGCCTTTATCAAGGGATGAAGAGAAGAAGCGGGGTAAGCGGCTGTTTGGAGGTCTTCTGAGCACCCTCAGCCAGACCAACTCCAGCTCGCAGCACAAGAAGAGGAGGGAGATTGAGCAGCGACAGCAGGAGAAGGCGCAGAAGCAGAGGGCAGAAGACGAAAAGAGACGGACAGAGAAGCTCGCGCGGATCACCGAGGCGCGGTGGAAGGAGCAAATCTTGTTTGACGAGAAAGTCGTACGTGCTTGCCCCTCTCCTCCCCTTGATGGCCTCATTCAAGCGCTTATAAGCTTTTCATTATCGCAGATGAAAACCCGACATGTCAACATGCTTGCAAAGGCACAATCCCTCCGGACGAGAGCAGGACCGTCAATTGTGCGTATTGCATGTTGCGTAAGGGGGGAAACCATAAGCTGACGTGTTGCAGTACTATCGACCGTGGAAGCTTACCAAAGAACAAGAAGACGAGGTTGACGACCAGGTGCAAGACGCTAAGAATACCATCGCGAGAGAACTCGAAGCGTTCAAAGATCGGAAAGAAGAACACGAGAGACGCCACGGCCGTGCCAGGCCGCCGGCCACGGCCCAGGAGGAGCCTGTGCCCATGGTCACAGAAGATCAACCAGCAGAGGCTCCGCCAGAGGTTTCTGCTGATGCTCCCGCAGCTACCGACCACACAGCTGCGTCTTCCGACAGAGACAGACATGAGCGGGACACACATGACGAACCTGGTGATGTCGTTGAAAACGACGAGGATATGGTTATCTACTAATGCCTGACAAAAGCGAGTGGTGTTTTCCCATTTTTCCTTCTCCGGCGTTTCATTGTAAAAGACGCCACAACCGCGGTAGTTTATGTGATTGTTATAAAATTAGGCGATATGGGAGGCATGCTATTTTCCCTGGCTTTGCGCGCGAGTTTGAAGGCGGAGTTGGGGGTTTTTATGATACCAATTGGAGTTCAAAGTGGCGTTTATTTGGGAAAGGTGCCCATGGTGATATTTGAAAAAAGAAGCTTGGGTCCAGAAACGGGATTCAGACCAACTTTGTTCGCCGGCTGAAAGGCTTACTACATACGTCGAGCCATGCTCTCTGACTCAAGCGCAAGACCAGTGACGTTCTCCTGCTTTAGCTTGGTGGGACCTTTTAGTCCAGAACAGCTGTTCCTTGCCGTTGAAGAATCGTTGGCCCCCGTCTAGACTTGCAATTTACGCTTTTCGGGTAAAGAGAATGCGATCTCCGGCTCTGAACCATATGTCGAAAATGACAATGGCGAAACCCCGTTTTGAGTACCGTCCGACAATGGCGAGTCCCCTTGTCTCAAGTTGTCCCTGGACCGAGGCATCGCAACAGCACGGACGGGGCCCGCTAGGACGATTCCATCAAGGGACTCCGATGGACAGCAAAGACGATGCCCCGCGCGGGTGGATGCCCGGCCACGCCGCTCGCCAATGCCGCCGCTCGCCGCACGTCAGGTACCCTGTCCATTTCAAGCCCTGCCCCTCACCTTGCGACCCATACGCTGGACCCAGAGCTTGGTGCAAACAGGTCGATGTTATCCTGTGTGCGAAGTACTGCATTGAGGTAGAGCCCGACAATGGGACAAGCTATGCCGAGGCTCGATTTACACCGCTCGTATGTTTTTCCTAGGTGGCCAGTTTCTATAGCTTTCTAAGCAATCGGGCGAGTTTCAAAGTGCGATACTTGTCTCCATAACTCGGCGACTCGGCGATATCTCGAATGGTATAAGTAGTTTTATCTTTCCGACAAGTCTGGTAAGATAGGTGTCGGTGAAGCTGCACACACTCATACAAACACGCATATACACCTTCTCTTTCATCAATCCCCGCAATAGCATTGTGAGGGAGCTTACAATCAGTCACTGAGCTGTAATAGCAAGGGTCTGTTCCTTGGCAGACGTCGAGTGCCAACGTGAGTATAAGACTACCGCGCACCCCGCCATTTACTAGCTGCCCCTCCTTCCCTCCTCCCGCCTCCCGCTACGGTCCCTAACAGCTTTCACCCCAGACGGAAGCCTTGCATACCGTTATACGGATACACACACCAACGATGGCCGTCGACAAGATCGCCCCGAACGACCCGCGCGTCGAGCGCAAGCAGGCCGAGGTCAGGGGCAAGACCTACTCCTACCTCTTCAGCAAGCCCGAGGGCGACGCCGCCCCCAAGGGCTCCGTTGTCCTCATCCACGGCTTCCCCGACATCTCGCTCGGCTGGCGCTACCAGATCCCCATGTTCCTCGCCCAGGGATACCAGGTCATCGTCCCGGACACCCTGGGCTACGGGCAGACGGCCTCCCCGGCCGAGCTCGAGGCCTTTTCCCTCAAGAGCATGTCGGACGACATCAAGGCGCTCTGCGACAGCATCATCCCGGGCGAGCAGATCATCCTCGGCGGCCACGACTGGGGCGGAGCGCTCGTCTGGCGCCTCGCCATGTGGCACCCGTCCCTGATCAAGGGCGTCTTCAGCGTCTGCACGCCCTACAACGCGCCAACGACGGCCTGGTTCGACCTCGCCGACGTCATCGCCGCGGGCCGCCTGACCAACTTCAAGTACCAGCTCCAGCTGCGCAGCGAAGAGGTGCCCGAGAAGCTCACCAAGCCCGAGGACATCCGTCAGTTCCTGCAAGGCATCTACGGCGGCAAAGGCCCCGCGGGCGAGCTCGTCTTCAACACGGAGAGGGGCATCATCTGGGAGAATATCGGCAAGATCGGCCCCACGCCGCTGCTGTCCGAGGAGGAGATTGCGTACTACGCCGACAACTTTAGCAAGTCGGGCATGCGCGGCCCGACCAACTGGTACCGCACGCGCAAGATCAACCACGACGAGGAGCTGCCGCTCGCGGAGGCGGCGGAGAAGAGCGGGGAGGCGTACAAGGTTACGCCGCCCAGTCTCTTCATCTCGGCGACAAAGGACGCGGCGCTGCCGCCGGCCATGGCGGCGGGCATGGACAAGCACTTTGAGGACCTGTCGAGGGGCGAGGTGACGGCGACGCACTGGGCGTTGTGGGAGGCGCCCGAGGAGGTGAATAAGCAGATCAAGGCGTGGATCGAGAGCAAGGTCGACAAGAAGCCGACGGCGTCGTTGTAAGAAAAGCCAAAAAGAAGAAGTGCGGCTCTCGAAGGAGGGGGCTGCGCGAGGTTGGATTTGACGTTAACGTTTATATTTATGACAGGCAGGGATGAACCACAGTTTCGGGAACGATTAGTGAACGGCCAATGTAGAATGAATTACAGAATTTGACCAAGCAAGGCCTCTGCGTTAATTGACCCTTGGGGTCCAGTTTTGCAGCTATAACTATCTGTACCTAGGACTGTTGTTACCTTGGTTGGGATGAAGGAGTGATGTCAGATGTCGTGGGACTGTGTATTCCTGGCCACTACAAGACTGTCATGACGGCCTGCCACCTGTTGAATCCCGTCTCCAATTTGGCGCATATTGAGCGGCGTATCGCATGTAGGTCGATGGCGCAGAGTATAGGCCTCATTGCCGTGCCTTCCCGTTGCTGCTGCTGGCCCCTGTAGGCTGATCGGCTCCCAGCTTCTGGCCGCATGAAGAGTGCGCGTCACGAGGGTATCGTCTTGGGTGTTTCCACAACAGTAGTTTGTTGTAATGTTATGTTTCGTCTATAATCTGTCGCCGTCTCACTTCAACGTGAACTTTTGTCCCGCGATCGACGGAGCAGCCCCTTTGGCCTTCTTGTTCGGCTTCCCGCACGAAGCGCACGAGTCGGCTCGATAGGCGCACGACTGGCAGAGGGAGTGGCCCTGAGAGACCTTTGTCTTGCACTTCGAGCAGGCGCTGGAGTATTGGGCGTAAGGGTTCTTGGCAGCTTTGGAGAGGAGCTTGCTCTTGCCGATGCCGGTCGTGCCCAGCGTAGCGGACTTGGTGGCGGAGGAAGACGAGGACGAGGAGGAGCCGTGGTAGATTTCGCTCTTCTTCTTGACAGAGGGCGTCGAGAGGGTCGTGGAGCCCTTGCCGAGCTTTTGGCACTTTGTGCAGACCATTTTCGGGGATGGGTTTAGATTCGGTGGATAGGTCTGTCGTCGGTTGTGTTGAAGTCGCAATTACTAAAGGTTGTTCTGATGATGGTTGAGGGACTGGCAGAGAGGGACGAGTGGCTGGTGTCGCAAGTGATAAGGATGAGATAAGATATGATAACAAATGTGGCTGGAAAGGACGGCAGCTGGAAGTGACGCAACGTCGCAGGGCGGCGAGTTTGCTGGTCGGTGCTGAAGACTGAAGTTTCCCCGGTGGGTCCGTCCAGATTCGTGTGGGTCCAGCACCGGGTCGGGCTAGAATTGGAATGTCTGCCCTGGAGAATGAGTGGATGACATTGGACGTTTCGGTTGTCTGGACCTCTGACTCTGGGGCCGTTGGCCCAGCACACGCGGTAGCCACAATAGGGGGCATTTTGTTGTCGAGTTGTTTCCTCGCTATACGCATACGGGGACCCCAGCCACTTTTGGAATTGAAAATGGATCTTATTTTGATCAAGTTCTTCAGCATCTTGGAGAATGCCGGGGTTTACTGGGGTGAAAGAATATGCCGTGGTTGGGTCAAATTTCGTCTGTTCACTTGGGATGAGCGAGAGTATTCGTACAGAGCATATTCGTACTCCACAGCTAATCACAGATCATCGGGGGGAAACGACTCTGAAGAGGTACATGGCCAAGGGGAAACAGGTTCTGTCATCGAACGGGAGATGATGCTTAACTCCTACCCTGATCAAACCTTGCTTAATAGCCTGGGCATTGCTGCGTTGTCTCCATTGTTCATCGTCTGTCCTCGTGTATTGGTCTATTGACCATTTTACACGCTGGTCCTGGCGTTGGCTAGGTAGTCGTCGGGGCCCTTGGGGTCTGAGCGGGCATACAGATGCAGATACTCTGTGCCCTATGACTTACCTATCCATATGAACATTGAGCAGAGGCGGACTCTGAAGTTGGCTCGTGTCAGAGCAGGCTAAATGTGACGGGTCCCGAGATTCCGTGCGAGACGTCCGTCCACCCCTTACGTCTCGATTGATGGTTCGATTGGCGACAATGTCTAGTGTTGAGGGGAAAACGAAGGCAGGCTGCAGGCTGACTGACCGAGAGTGGCGTAGCGGGCATTCCTGCCGACATCCACCAACTTCGCCCTGTCGTCGTAGGTTGGTGTGTGTGGCTGGAGGCCGACGCAACTCTTTAAACTTCTCGCTGCTGCTGTCAGCTTGTGGTCTCGCATCCGGTACGAAGAGAGGCAGAGACAGAGAGAGGATCAGGACGTGGAGGAAGAGATGCAGCCAATACTAGGCCCAGCCAGTCAAACGTCCTCCCAAGGATTCAGAATAGCAACAGGCCCACACGTGCCCCCGTCTGGTGGAGCTGCGGTCCCAAAACCAAGTCCACCCAATCCCATTGCCCAGTTGTAGTCTCACAGCAAAATAGCCCAGGAAAGTACGGAGAACGAGGATACCTGTCGCATCTGCCTGAGGAAGCTGCCAGCTGTGAGCAGACGTTAGAGGCCAGCCAAGTACCTTGGTACCGCAAGCAAGGCGCCTGGGTTCAAGCCAACGAGACCCTTTCGACCCTTCCCCGTCCCGTCCATTGAGGTTTGGTGTCTTCAATCTGCACTGTTTGACGCTGCTACTGCTACCCTGCGCCTCCCCGAAAAACCCACGCTACCAACCTTACAAGTTACGCCCAGTCTAACGCCTTGCTGCTAAGTACTTGCTGCTGCTGCGTGTTTAGCTTCCAGTCTCATCCGGTCGGCTCCCTTGCGCTGTCTCCCGAGTTCTCCCCAATTCAACCCCATTCAAGCACCACCAATACCTCAAACACGACTTTCCGCAGATCCCACCCTTTCCGCGGACGACACCTCACATCACCTTACTTCTTGGCCTCTCGACAGTCTAAAAGACGTCCTCTCCTGTTGTGAAATTATTCGACCGTTGCAAGCCAATCATAGCGACTGCGTTGCTTTGCCTCCTGAGCCACTGCCACCGGGGACCGTCTTTCGGTCACTAGGTACCTACTCTCGTCTTCGCCTGGCGACCAACTACCTACGGTACACTTGCGCACTCAGCCCGTTGACGTAGCGCAAGCCGACCACTGTGTAATCCTAATCCTGCGCCAGAAAGAGGCTGTGCTGCAACAAATACGGACTGCTGGGCCACTTCTTTTTTTCCCACCACATCAGCTACCCTCAGCAAACGCCCAGCTGCGGCGTCGCTTTCATTGCCGATTGTCGTTGTCGTCGTCGTCGCCTCTAGCTACACTGCTCCCGCCGATACGAATCTCCATCATCCACCGATTAGGCTGCCAAATCGTCCGCGACCACACCCTCTCGACTGCATCGCTTCTTCCCTTCATGTGTCCGGAAACACGACGATAATCCAATCACCTCGAAATTCGCATGTTGGCCATTCTGACACTTGCAAATTGATCGCCCAGCAACGCTACCAGCCTTCCCGGCATGACTGGACGACCTACGGGTGGTCCTCCAGGAGGACCCTCGAATAACGACCTACTACTAGACTTGGACAGCGAGCAACCGACCTACAATGCCGGACAGCGATCGAATATGAACGACGACGACCTTTTACGCTCCTACAACCACGATCAAGACCAGGCCCAGGGCCGACCCTCCGTTTCGTACGATGACTTTGTAGGCGGCGGCGGTGGAGGAGGGGGAGGGAATCACACACAGCAACCCTCAGCATTGAGACCGTTACCTGGAGGCCCTCAATCGCCTGGTGTCTCTGGCGGCGCATCTTCCGGCCCATACATGCAGAGACACTACAGTCAAACATCAGAACTAAACAATTACCAGCGATACGCCGACGACTTTGACGACTACTCGGCCGAAGGCGAATCGTACTACCAACAAGGCGGCGCCGCGACGAGTACGAACAATGTTGGTGACCCCTCCGCGAGGTCCAATGCTCGGAACCGTAACAGCGTCCTGAGTTTGGGTGGAGGCTTCTTTGGCCGCATGAAAAATAAGCTTGGGATGGGCCAAGGTTACTCGGAGATGGACTTGCCCTTGACGGAGGCTGGCGGCAACGGACGGACAGACTCTGGCATCGATGCGCAAGCCAAGGGGGGCAAGAAGTTCGACATGGGTAACTTCAAGTTTGGATTCGGAGGAAAGAAGCCGGACCCTTCGACACTGGGTCCCAGATTGATCCATCTCAACAACCCGCCCGCAAACGCAGCGAACAAGTACGTCGACAACCACATCTCGACGGCCAAGTACAATGTCGCAACCTTCCTCCCGAAATTCCTCTTCGAACAGTTTTCAAAGTTTGCCAACATCTTCTTCTTGTTCACGGCTGCGCTGCAGCAAATCCCCAACCTCTCGCCTACTAACAGATACACTACCATCATTCCGCTCTTCATCGTCATGATGGTGTCGGCAGGCAAGGAACTGGTGGAGGACTACCGAAGAAAACAAGCCGATCACCAGTTGAACACGTCCAAGGCCCGCATCCTGCGCGGAACCGCCTTCCAGGAGTCCAAGTGGATCAATGTTGCGGTCGGAGACATTATCCGCGTCGAATCTGAAGAGCCCTTCCCTGCCGATCTGGTCCTCCTTGCAAGTTCCGAGCCCGAGGGACTTTGCTACATCGAAACAGCCAACCTCGACGGAGAAACAAACTTGAAGATCAAGCAGGCGTTACCTGAGACGTGTACGATGGTCAGCTCCAGCGATCTGAGCCGACTCGGAGGAAGAATCAAGTCCGAACAGCCCAACAGCAGTCTGTACACATATGAGGCCACCCTGACAATGCAGGCTGGTGGTGGTGAAAAAGAGCTGCCCCTCAACCCCGAGCAGCTTCTGCTTCGAGGTGCCACTCTTCGTAATACGCCCTGGATTCATGGTGTGGTTGTCTTCACCGGGCACGAGACAAAGCTCATGCGTAACGCCACTGCTGCACCCATCAAACGCACAAAGGTCGAGAAGAAGCTGAACATTCTTGTTCTCGTGCTGGTCGGTATCCTCCTTGTGCTTAGCGTCATTTGCACAGTAGGCGATCTTGTTCAGCGCAAGGTTGAGGGCCAAGCTCTCCAGTACCTGATGCTTGACTCTACCGGATCAGCAAACGACATCATCAAGACCTTCTTCAAGGACATGGTCACATACTGGGTTTTGTTCTCCTCCCTTGTGCCCATCTCCCTGTTCGTCACGCTGGAAATGGTCAAGTACTGGCACGGAATCCTCATCAACGATGATCTCGACATCTACTATGACAGAACGGACACGCCGGCAAACTGCAGAACATCGAGTTTGGTCGAAGAACTGGGCATGGTTGAATATGTCTTCTCCGACAAGACGGGCACCTTGACTTGCAATATGATGGAATTCAAACAGGCTTCGATTGGCGGTATTCAATATGCCGAAGATGTTCCCGAGGACCTCAGGGCGACAATTCAGGATGGTGTTGAGGTCGGAATCCACGATTATAAGAGATTGGCGGAGAACCTCAAGAGCCACGAAACGGCTCCCGTGATTGATCATTTTCTGGCGTTGCTGGCTACTTGTCACACAGTCATTCCCGAGAGGAGCGAGGAAAAGGGCGGCAAAATCAAGTATCAAGCCGCCTCACCCGATGAGGGTGCGCTCGTCGAGGGCGCGGCTGAGCTCGGCTACGTCTTCACCGATCGCAAGCCGAGGTCTGTCTTCATCGAAGCTGGAGGACGTGAGCTCGAGTATGAGCTATTGGCCGTTTGCGAGTTCAACTCTACCCGAAAGCGCATGTCGACTATTTATCGATGCCCCGACGGAAAGGTCCGCGTATACTGCAAAGGTGCCGATACTGTCATTCTCGAGCGCCTGAACGATCAGAACCCCCACGTCGAAGCCACCCTGCGTCACCTGGAAGAGTACGCTTCTGAAGGTCTCCGAACGCTTTGCCTTGCCATGCGTGAAGTTCCCGAGCAGGAGTTCCAGGAATGGTTCCAGGTCTTTGAAAAGGCCGGCATGACCGTTGGCGGCAACCGTGCCGACGAGCTGGACAAGGCAGCAGAACTCATTGAGCACGACTTTTACCTCCTTGGAGCGACTGCTATTGAAGATCGCCTTCAGGATGGTGTTCCCGAGACCATTCATACACTTCAGCAGGCCGGCATCAAAGTGTGGGTTCTGACAGGCGATCGTCAGGAGACTGCTATCAACATTGGAATGAGCTGCAAGCTGCTTAGCGAGGATATGATGCTCTTGATTGTGAACGAGGAAAGCGCCGAAGCAACTCGCGACAATATACAAAAGAAGCTCGAAGCTATTCGCACTCAAGGAGATGGGACGATTGAAACGGAAACTCTCGCACTCGTCATCGATGGCAAGTCTTTGACTTACGCCTTGGAGAAGGACCTCGAGAAGCAATTCCTTGACCTCGCCATCATGTGCAAGGCCGTCATTTGCTGCCGTGTCTCTCCCCTCCAAAAGGCTCTTGTCGTCAAGTTGGTCAAGAAGTATCAAAAGGAGGCCATCTCGCTGGCCATTGGTGACGGTGCCAACGATGTGTCCATGATTCAAGCTGCCCATATCGGTGTGGGCATTAGCGGTATGGAAGGTCTACAGGCCGCCCGAAGCGCCGACGTATCCATCGGCCAGTTCCGGTATCTCAGAAAGCTACTACTCGTTCACGGCGCTTGGAGCTACCAGCGTGTTGCCAAGACCATTCTGTTCTCTTTCTACAAGAACATCACCTTGTACATGACGCAGTTTTGGGTAAGTTTGTTGGTGGATGGATTGCGGACTTTAGATTGCTAACTTGACCAGTACACTTTCCAAAATGTCTTCTCTGGAGCCGTCATTTACGAGTCTTGGACGCTTTCGTTCTACAACGTCTTTTACACCGTCCTCCCTCCTCTCGCTCTGGGTATCCTTGACCAATTCATTTCCGCCAGACTCCTCGACCGCTACCCGCAATTGTACAACATGGGTCAGCAAAATCAGTTTTTCAAGATCAAGGTCTTTGCCGAGTGGGTTGCCAACGCTGTGTATCACTCCATCATCCTCTACGTCTTTGGCCAACTCATCTGGTATGGTGAACTCATCCAAGGCGATGGACAAATAGCCGGTCACTGGGTCTGGGGCACGGCCATGTACGCTGCGGTCCTGCTCACCGTTCTCGGCAAGGCGGCTCTGATCACGAACAACTGGACCAAGTACCACGTCATGGCCATTCCTGGCAGTATGCTCTTCTGGTGGGGCTTCATCGCTCTGTACGGCACCGTCGCCCCCATGATCCCCTTCTCCGCCGAGTATCACGGTGTCATTCCCAAGCTGTACAGCAGCCCCGTCTTCTGGTTGCAGACTTTTGCGCTCGCGATTATGTGTCTTATGCGCGATTTTGCCTGGAAGTTTGCCAAGCGCATGTACATGCCGCAGACATACCATCACATTCAGGAGATTCAGAAGTACAACATCCAAGATTACAGACCAAGGTACGTTGCTCCCTAAAACTTACAGCCCTCTCTAGCGACAGCTCACTAATCCATCCATCAGAATGGAGCAATTCCAAAAGGCAATTCGCAAGGTGCGACAAGTGCAGCGCATGCGTAAGCAGCGCGGTTACGCATTCTCCCAAGCAGATGAGAGTCAATCGAGAGTGCTTCAGGCATACGACACGACGCAGCACCGTGGACGGCACGGTGAGATGGCCAGTTCGAGACCCCAAGGCAGGTAGTCACCACACTGCCAAATGTCTCAAGAAAAGAGGGGCCAAAGACGCATAGCCCATGATTATTACGACTCGAAAGGGGGTTGGCTGCGTTGAATTTTGATTCCTTGGGGGTGATGATTCCCATACGAAATGGTAATGCAACGGAAGCGACGACAGCACGATGTAAAGTTTTGTGTCTTTTTTTACTATTATTATATGCATGGTCGGGAACCTCCTCGTCATCCGAGGAGGAACATCATCCCACGGGCTGGCGTTTATTTTCAAGCTATTCAATGGCTTTTGTTTGTGTAACTACTTCGCGTAGGGGCTTTTTATCTTCTCTTCCTCTTCTTTTTTGACAAAAAAAAACCAAACATTGGACGGTCACGTCGCAGGGGGGCGATGATGATGTTGGGGGAGAGGTATGTGGCGAGGAGGCTGGTTGGCAGGCAGTTGATACGAAGCAAAAAGAAAACAACCTCATGTCACATGATGCGGCAGGTCCGAGATGGAAAGAAGGGGAGAGGAATTTCACGTGGGAGTTGAGAAGACTCACAGCAATTAGGCAGAACGTGTGAAGTGCAACATTTCTCGGGAGACAAGGTCCATGGATTGGAGGGGCGGGGGAATAGGAGAAACCCTCGAGAATAAAGAGTTGCTGATTTGTGAAGAGTTTCCTTGACTGTTATTGCTGTGCAAACCCGGGATTCATATCTGTTTCTTGTCTCTTTTCTCCTCTTCCAGATGTCCAATCCCGGCTTCTTTGGGGTTGGCCGGCTTTATTTATGTCTGGTTGTTGGGGTCTTCGCGCATGCTGGGTTGTACTCTCAACATCGCCCGCAGCTATCAATGTCCTTGATCTCCTCAATGGCAATGCACCTTAGAACAACTCCACCTCCGGACCGCAGCGCCGGGCCCGCTCCCGGGTCATTCCCGGAGCTGTTGGTGATATTAGGCGCCCGCACTTGTGTGTGTACCTGATTCAGCAGGGGGATTCCGTCTTGAAGAGCTTTGGCGCTATGGAACAGTCCTTTGCGTCACGTTTCCCACACTTGTTGCACCAGCCCTGGCAGCGGCTGACTGGATGCTTGCTTCGACTGCGAGATAAGGTCTATACTGAGTACATTAGCTGAGCTAAAACGGCCAGGAGAAGCAGGTGTGTCTCAATTGATCGGAGCTAATTTCAGCCTTCGGAGGGAATCAAATCTCGGCTTGAGTGCAGCCGGTTACTGCATACACCCACTGTACTTGAATGTAGGTACGCATAGAAGCAGCCATGGCTCACCCTGGCCAAATCACTGGCATAAGGCTCTGGATCACCGATACCGATGCTTCCCATCCGCTTTAGCCTGGTCGTAAGAATACTTTATAAGCAGCCATACATTCATCAATTTGAGAGTACTGTTACGGAAGCCGCTCAATCGGTCGAACTAACTTGTCTCGCAGTATCTTGTCTCCTCATCCATGGTCAGACTGTATCCCCGACCTCGAAGTTGGCGGCGCGATGGCCCAAACGCTGCATGCAACTGCACCACCACCCAAATCTCCCGTACCCGTCTCGCGAGACACCGCCCTTCGTCTTTCGATAAACACCACTCTGCCCCCCATCTTCCGGAACGATGACCGACTAGTCAATGCCAGAGAAAGCGTCACTTTATTCCTCGAGACCGACCTGCAAACCCCGAGGTTGGAGAAGATGTACCCATACCTGTGGCTCGCGGGGCTTCCCCGAGCGGCGCGTCCACTTCATCGCCAAAAGGTAGTCGGGCGGAACGTTTGCGTGACCGAGAACCCCGAGGAGCATATGACGTGGCACGAGACGACCATCTTTGTCAAACCCTTACCTGACTACTTTTTCGATCACTCCTTGTGGCAAGAGACAATCTGTGGGGATGAGGCGCTATATAAGAGTGCTTGCGGGTTGCTGCTCTCATACGTATGGCTCGTCAGCTACCGCAGCGATCTGCGAATCGCACACGAGATGGGTTTACTGCCTTCTTGCATAACATGGGAAGATTGGAAAAACATGGTGCTCGAATTCTCCAACCAAAACGACTTCCAAACGCGGAGCTGGGTGAGCCGTCGTTACGAATATGGCGAACTCCGCCTGTCCCGCCTCAACACGCTCTCCCGCTTGGGCGCAGCTGGGTTCTCGGCGAGGAACTTTGTGTACGGCTATATTTCGGGTTCGAAGCAGTACACCACTTTTTTCGAGCGCAACTTTGGCTGGCTCTTGGTGGTTTTCATCTACATCACGGTCATTCTGTCGGCCTTGCAAGTGGCCCTGGCAACTGAGAGGCTGGGGTCGGATGGGAAGTTTCAAGCATTTTCATACGGTGTTGCTCTCATATCACTCGGATTCGTTGCAGCGCCGATTGCAATAATGTTGATTGTGTGGTCGAGTCTTTTTGTTTTCTATCTTCTGTCAACGCTTCAGTATCACAAAAAAGTGACGGCTGGGCGGGAAAATACAGTAGAATGATACCGAGGCAGTCTGCTTATGGTGGCGCTCTTTAGGCCTTTATCAAATGCAGTGGATCAATCATTGAAAGAGAGGATTATCAATAGCATTAATTTGACAGTTGACTCATGATCTATTCTTCCCCTCAGGTATTAACCCGATTCTCTGGATAAGTCGGTCGAGCCCACTCGCCAGCCTGATCCTCCTCATCTCCTATCACAGCCGAGACAAACTAATGTGGCGCAGCCTGCATAGTCAGTTCAAAATGATCGATTCGGGTCTATGGCGCCTACGTATGCCTGCCCTCGCATCAATGTGCGAGTTGATGGCTTCACTACAAGCAGCCAAGATCAGTGGCTTAGAAGTGTTCCGATTTTCAGCCCCAACTGACCGCTGTCTTGGTTCATTGGCTACCATATCACGCCTGATCCAGCCGCACCTTCATTAAAAAAGGTTGGTCGGTATCTGTAATTCCCTTATGTGTTCCCTCTTTCCCTCCTACCTTCTGTCCTAGGATCTACTTTCTTGATCGACTTCCTAAGCACAGACGACGATTTAATTTGACGCTGTCAAAGATCATCAAAAACAGAAACGGAGCAGTTCTTCTCGAAAGATGGAGCCAGTGAGCCTGCCGCTGTCTTACTTTCTGGCTACACTGGCCATCTTCGCTTTTCTACACTTTTACAAGAGACCACGCGGAAACGTACCGGTGCCGTCATTCAATCCCACCAAGACATTTCGCATCCGCGGGGTGCCTCTTACATGGAGCGGCAATGATCTAGAGTTGCACCTAAGTGAGCTCGATCCTCTGAGCAAACCAGTTGTCAAGTCTATCGCTCGCGAGATTCACGGCCGCTCCAACACTGCCACAGTCACTTTCGAAATTCTACCATCTCAGTTCCAAGCACACAAGTTGAGTCGTCCACCGTGGTACATCCAGCTACCTGACGTGTCCGTTGAAGGACGCCGTAGCCTCCAAAGTCAATCTATGATGATCGACGACGATTTCGAGGGGATAACTACTCTGCACATGCCGTCATCAAAGGGTCACAAGATTGAGTAAACATCATGTATACCTAATGAAGATATGATGCCAACGCTGATTATTTGACAGTGTTGTCGCGATTCCTGGGCTTGGCGGACACGCCTTCGGTTCGTTCAAGGAAAGGGGCGGAAGCCACATGTGGCTACGAGACTCTCTTCCATTTCACCTGAGAGAAGCCAAGGACAAGACTCAGATTGCTCGAGTTATAACTTGGGGTTACAATTCTACTCTTGCAGACAGTAAAAGTATCCAAAAGATAGAAGACCTGGCAAAGAAGCTCCGCAACAGCCTGCTCCCGTTAGCTGGCCCTCCAACTAGACCGATAATTCTAATTGCCCATAGCATGGGTGGGCTCATCGCGAAGCAGGTTGGTTGAATGAGATGACTCCCTTAAGGTTGCACAGGTTTAACAAGGAATCTAGGCGCTGATTGATATGTTCAAGTCCGACAACGAACAAGATTCACAGATCGTTCGGGCGGTATATGGTATCGCCTTCTTTGGAGTTCCTCACCTTGGTATGAAGATTGAATCGCTCATCCCCATCGTTGCACACGGGCCAAACCTTCCCCTTCTTCAGTCGCTAGATCGCCTTGGTTCGCAGATCATAAGTGTTGGCGAGAAGGAATTTCCTGCAGCCCTGGGCGGAGAAGGCGACTCTGAGATCGTGTACTTCTACGAGACACACGTGTCGCCAACGGCACAGAAGGTGAACGAGTCATCTCCACTGCGCCCTTTGTATCAGCGTTGACACCAAACAGGACGAAGTCGGAAACTGGAAGATGACTGGAAGACCCGAGCTTCTTGTTGACCAAGAATCGGCAACTCATCGCCGCCGCTGGGAAGGAGGCCCCCAGCACACGTGTCCCATTGCCCGTACTCATTCTAACATGGTAAAATTCGGGCCCCATGATGACGAGTACGATAACGTTATTGAAAGGCTCAAAATCCTTGCTAGGAACTCACTGGTGGCTCGAGATGAGACGCTCGAAATTGAAAGGGAGCGTGAAAAACAATGGAATAAGCACAATGGTGCTCCAAGACCCCACGCCATTCCCTCCAAGAGTTTCTCGAGCCTACACGAGAAAGATCTCGATCAAGACTTTCCAGGGCGCCTACTCTGGTACAGGGAACCCGTGGGGGACAATGGCTATCCTCTTGGAACAACCGTTGAGCCACACATTGAGAGCCAGAACAGTGTTAAACCGATTGGAGAAACTATTCTGACGTGTCGCCGCATCGTGAACTTGCAGATTCGTGGGCACATCAAGTGGATAGACCCTGGCCGGTACCGCTCTCGGTACCGCTCTCGGTGGGTATTTTGGTTCTTTGCAGGTAAGAACTGTCCTAGTTCATCACAATCTGTGCCATCCTGCTGGTCCCCCGATGGTTCACCAGAAAATACGATCAGAGAAAGATACTTCCCGGCAGACTTGATCGAGATGGGTAAACCAATGCCAGATTCTCCATGGTTTTATCCCTGGAACTTGCGTTGCAGCGCCGGGCGAGCAAGGAGCCCCAATAATTTCCTCGGCCAATTCGTCGATGCTGACATCACTCCACGGTTTCCTCCCCAACTCTTGGAGGATGGTTACAAAGAGCAAGTCATTGGGCCAGGGCTTTGGAATACTTTCAGGAACACTGGCTGGTGCGAGGTGCCCGGGCCAGAAGTGGAAGTCGGCAGCGATGGTGAGGCGTTTCTGATGGTTTCCAAAGACTTTGAAAGAAAGTGGATTGGAGGGTTTTCGTTTGGAGGTGTCCGTCTAGATCCTTGTTAATCCGAAACCTTCAAGTCTCGGATTCATTAGATGCATATCGATATCGTGGCCGAGTACACATAAAACACTCTCTCTTCGACAGACAAACAGCCTGGCCGCACCGCGTCAGCTAGATCTAGCTTGCCGCTCAGCGTTTTTCTTGAGCTAGGTAGGATGGTCATCATTATCCTACAACTCATGAAGAAATATACAAATGTACGTGCAGCAGCGTGATGTGCTATTTAGGAGAAAGGTGACGCTGTCTAGATGTGATACTACTTTACATTGATACCGCAAAGCGGCTCTTGGCTCGAAGCCAGTGGCCATAGTGATACAAAACATAGGGTATCGGCGCAAGCACGGCCGATATACAGGCGAGGATAGTCAGAGTGTAGTGCGTTCCCATCTTCTCGTAAAAGGGGATTCCTACCACGGTCATGCCGCCCGCAACCATATACCTGATGAGCGCGACGAACGTGAGCGCAGAGGCCGAGTATATCTCGTACGAGTCGATTATGTACATGTACACGCACATGAAGATGCCGGTGACGCCGTACCCGAACACGGCGACCGCGAAGATGGCAGACCAGACGCTGATGTTGGAGAAGTTTGTCCAGCCGAGCCAGAAAAGCGATATGGGGAGGGAGACGGCGGCGCCTGAGGTGGCGTACCACAGACGGATCTCTGGTTTGAAGCCCGCTTTTCCACCATCGCTTTTGACCCGTTTCGCTGTCTTGGCGTAGATGAAGGGCACAAAGAGGAAATTGACCTGCGTGCCGACGAACATGGAGATGAAGATGATGTTGGCGAGCCCTTGGTCGAGACCGTAGGTATATTCAAAAATGTAGGGCCACCCGACGAGAAAAGTGAAGAGGACGATGTAGACGACGGTGATGTACAGCGTCATGGCGATGATGATGGGCTCCGTCAGCATGAGGAACGGCCTCGTCATGCTCGTCTTGAGGCGGCTGAAGAGCGTGGCGTCGACGATCTCGTGCTCGGAGCGGAAGCGGTCATCGCCCGTGATACGGCGGTAGTGTGCGGCCTTCCACTGCAGGAGCAGCGGGCCGTACGTCTCGGGCATGAAGAGCAGGACAAGCACCAGCACGAGCCCAGACGAGATGAGCGTCGTCCACTCTACCCAGCGCCAGCTCACGGCGTTGGAAGGTCCAATGTAGGCGCCCATAACGGCGCCGATCATGGGGCCGCCGAAGCAGGTTATCGCGTACAAGGGAAAACTCCACGTCTTTTCGAGCCGGTTGTACATGTCTGCGATGGAGCCGCCGGAGCAGACGAGGGGCGTCGAGGCGGAGCATCCCGCCAGGAAGCGGAAGACGATTTGCGCGCCAAAGTTGGGCGCCAGGCCGGACGCCATGATCCAAATCATGAAGATGGCCATGGAAGCCGCGTACACGGCGTTGCGACCAAAGGTTTCGGAAAAGGGCCCCGCGATGAGGGAGCCCAGGCCCATGCCGACGAGGTAGAGGCCCGTGGCGAGCGACTCGGCGACCTGGCTGACGCCGAGATCCTGCGCGGCCTGCGGGAGGACCGTGGCGTCGATGCCGGACGCGGAGCCGACGAAGAGGGCGATGAGGGAGATTTGGAGCGTCACGCCGATGCGCTTCGCCGTGGGCCAGTTGTGCGGGTCTAAGGGGTCGTCCGGCCCCGCCCAGCCGACGACGAAGACGCGGCCGCCGTGGCCCTCTTCGCCGGTCCGGTCCCGGACGTGGATGCCGGTTAGGACGCGGCCGAGGGCCGTGCCTACGGAGTGTCCTGTCCGTGCCGTCTGGCTCCGTTCGATGGTCGTACCGGAGGCATCGTACTCCCCTACTTGATTTGGTTGCTCGTTGCTTTCGGGTTTGGCGGTGGTGGTAGTGCCGCCTGGTGTATCCAAGAGTGGACTTGCTCGCTTCTCCTCCTCCTGTGATGAAGAAGATTGGTTCTCAAGGTCCCTGCCTATATCGTCGTGCGGCCCTCTTTGCGCTGTTAAGGACTGTGCTTTTCCAATGTCTCTGTCGATTTGCGCCTGGGCTTCAACGCCCGCACGCCGGCGTTGTAGAAAAGATTGCATCCTATTCCCCAACAGATTTCTCCTCAGGTACACCTAGTAGAGCGCCAGGGGAACATACTTCCTGGATCTCAGATTCAGCTGATATGGGTGTGATGTCTCTTTAGAGTTGGAACTGTTACAGACGGCAGCGGAAGGAACACCGAGAAAGTT